GGGGGGGGTCCCTAACAGTTCCTCAGGCCGCATAACAGCTGTCTTTATCCTGTTACTACCTCATACAGTGCCTCATCCATCCCGTCTTACCATTCGGCTCTACCCATGACCTCGCCTATCCTAGTTCACCCTGTTTCAGGCCCTAAATTGTCTTACAGCCTTCTTACCCAGTTCTGCCAGTTACACCGATAACATCGTTTTTCTACTCGCCGTAGCTGGTCCCCTATAACTAATTCCATCCTTCCTCAATCCTCCTTCACATTGTTATTTCCACCCCTCGTGATCCCGCCCGGTACTACGACGATCCCCATGACCTCCCCGGGCCCTTGTTGCCACACTGTACTACTAGTATTGAGCAGTGCATAACTACTGACGCTCAAGGATATTCAAAAAAAGAAAAGAGTCCCACATTTGCTCAAAACTATCAGGTTTTTTAGAAAGCCCGATTTCATTCAACGGGAAAAAAAAAAGTCAGGTTTATTACTGTTTAACGAAATGGCTCTTGCACGGTCATTACAGCTGTATTTGGGGCAGCTTTTAGTGTAGATATGGCGATAATGATCGTGCTTTCTATTTGGCTGAAGACGGTAGGTAGTGTTTGAAAATCTGAAAAGTCACTTGCAAGTTTGCAACCCAATCAAAATCAACCACTCTGTTCTCAAGAGTACCCTGTCTAGTAGCTACTCAGTTACTGTCAAGTAACTACTCAGTTACTGTGCAGTAGCTACTCAGTTACGGTGCTGTGAATCCTCAGTTACTTTGCAGTTACTGTGCAGTAACTACTCAGTTACTATGCAGCAGCTACTCAGTTACTGTGCAGTAACTACTCAGTTACTGTCAAATAAACACAGTAACTACCTGGGCTAGGCCGCCGCCCGGGCCAGACGGACCGGGGGGGTCCGCCCGGCAAAACCGGGCGGCCTGAAAAGTGTCCCGGAAATTTATTAATTTTTTTCTTCTGAGAACGGGGTTTTGCTGCGCTTGCCGAGAGCAGCCCAAAAACGCTGAGAAAGTGGTGAAAGGTGGGGCTGGGGGCTGTCTCTTATACACATCTAGATGTGTATAAGAGACAGGGTTTAGGGATTAAGGGTTTAAGGGATTCTCAGAGAGGGTAGAGAAATTTCGGGCAGGGGTCAGAGTGGCTCTCGGGTAAGGATGGATAAGAGAAGGTACTAGGGAC